TTTGGCTTAGGGGGAGCTCCTAGCACTTACCCAGGGCTGTGGCCTTGCTCTTTCTGGTGGGCTTGCCACTGCAGGTGGCCTAGAGTGCTCTCTCCTCTCTTGATCTCTGGGTTTCCTTTCCTGGGCCAGGGTTCCTGATTCCTGCTGCTTGAATGCTCTCATTCTGGCTCTAGCTGGCCTTCCCAAGACCACTGCTGCTGCTTTGTCCCCTGTCATTGGCCTATCAGCTTGACCTTGGGTTTCCTGCTCTGAAGGCCACAAGAAACCCCTCCCTTAGTGTTTCCCCTGGCCTCTTGACATGCAAATCTGAACATATGGTTTATTTTTAAAGCCTGTTTTTTTTCACAAACTGGGGATTTCGAGAAAACTCTCATTCAGAAGTCCCAGTACATGAAAGGTTTCTGAGATAATGAAAATTAAAGTTAAAAGTAATGTGTAAATTAAGGTAGCCTAATAATAAGTAATACTCTCTCAAAACTCATGGTAGTAATGAGGTGTATAATTCAGGGAGAATTTAATGCAGTCATTGTTATCCCATCTTGTCATAGGATAAGGTGATGATTATCAAATATTTATAGGAAACTAAACTGTTTAAGCTCTTCATATTTTAATCCATTATGAGTACCTAACATTTATGAAGAGCACTTTAATTAGTTGACAACTTGAGGTCATGCTGGTGCCCCAGAGGCATACACAGGTGAACTCTACCTTTGTGTCACATGGGAAAGTATAAACTTAGCACCAAAAATGTGTCTGTTGGCAACTTCCCAGTTTCCCTTGAAAGAATCTAAAATAATGTATTTTTTTAGAACATTTATTGATTTTCCATTTTCCCAGAAACACTTACTGAGCTCTTACTGTGTTCCAGATGCTGTTGTAGATGCAGAAGCCAAACCAGATCAAACCAGCCACAGTTCTTCCTTGTCCAAAGCACACATTCAAATAGGAGGCAAACCCCTGGGATGACATTCAAGCAGATGAGCATAAAAGCCCTATTTTACCCCTGCCAGAATTTGCAGTAATATATTCGTTTATACCAGAGTTATAAATTATCCTAATTGTTCACTGAATACATGATTTTGGTGAGTGTATACATGATGGTGGGGGGCAGGGGTAAACATGGCAGGAGACTGAAAATCTTTAGCTTTCATCAATTCTTGAAAGAACCTATGAACTCGCTAAGTAGAGGCAACAGCTATGCATTTTCATTATATTTTCCTCATTTCTTTAAAAGGCATATGATTACGTAAAACAAAAATAACACCAAAGTGCTAGGTTTATAAGTATATACATATAATATATAAAGTGGCATTGGTTTGCAGTGGTGGTTAAGTGGGACCATATTCTTGCAAGTTTCCTATATTTTACTTGAAATAATTCAGTATTAACTCTAAGCATATGTGGTGAGTTAAAGATAGATATTGTAATCCCTAGAGCAAACACAAGAAAAATATTCTGTGAGGTATTGCTAGAAACAAAACAAAACCCAATAAATAAATTGAAATACTAAAACTATTGGCTTAACGCAAAAGAAAATAGGAAAGGAGGAGCAAAGAACAAAAAAAAAAAAAAATGAGACCAATAGAAACCAAATAGCAAAATCCACCTATACCAAAGTAAGCCCATTAAGTGTGAAGAGCTAAACAAACAAAAGGGTCTTAAGATGTGCCTTATGTATTTTGTGCAGAAAGATTTAAAGTTCGGTAAGTTGTTTATTTCCTTAATCCGTTGGGAGTTTATACATGATGGGAATGTGGGTCTCTTCTGCAGCCTTATGTAGAGCTCCCTCTGACTTACCACGTGCCCTTGTCCCCCGCAGCCTTTTTCTATGCGCTTGGTCTTTAGGTCACTTTGAGTAGCTCTACATAGAAACTACACTGTTTTAATTACTCAAACTTTATATCATATCCTGAAACCTGATAAGCCTTAATATCATTACATTGGCCATTATGGATCCTTTATTTTTTTTTAAAGTCTTTTTATTGTATATATAACACACCGAGGTGTTTATAAACTAGAAATGTCATGAAACCAAACACTGGAAAGTGGACACACCCATAAAACGCCACACAGGGCAGAGTACTGCCAGCCTCAGAGCGCCCCTCCCTCCCGGGTCTCGCAGAATGGACGGTCGGTCACCCTCATGCTTCGCTCCATGGTTTTCCCACTGGAGATAGATCGTTCAGATCAATCCACTTACAAAAATGGAATCATATATTTTTTGTCTGGTGGCTTTCTCCCAACATTATGTTTTTAAAACTTAAACTTTAAATATTCCAAATGCAGTACATTTTAGAGGTGGCATTTAAGTTCCGACAACAACAAAAAGCTGTAAAGCTTTTATTTTGGATTACATTGACTTTGTATCTTGATTTGGTGGAAATATGTATATTAATAGTTGTACATCTTCCCATTCATGGATGTGATGCCTTTATTTATTACTAGGATTTTCTTTAGTGTGCCTTTTTTTTTATAGTTTCAAAATTTTCTTTTTCACAGTTTGCTATTCTGCAGATAGTTAATACTTTTTCCTTTCTAGGCAGTCTCTTTTATCTCTGGTAACTTGTAAGGGCTTCTTTGTTTCACAACAGTGCATCTAGATGTAAATTCCATTTTGTTATCCTTCTTGGGACTCTTGCATTATCGATCTGGGATTTATATTCTTTATTAATTCTGGAGAAATCTTAACTATTATCTCTTGAAGTAGAGTTCTGCTCTGTCCGTGCTCCCTCCGTTGTTTTCTTCTGGAAGTCGTATGAGACCTCACTCTGTGAGACCTTTGTCTGGGCGGAATCTTGGGGGGCAGAGCCCCGGGCCTCCCCTCAGAGCCGGCTCTGCCCACTTCAGAAACCTCCTTGGTTCACACCCTGCAGAACTTTTACCTTCTCCCTGAAGGAGAGAGGGTGGGTATGGGCGACGCTGGGTTGGGCAGGAATTGGGGTTGCTTCCTCTGGAGACAGGCCCTCGCATCGCTCCGGCCTTCTGCGTTCCTGGTGCCTCTAATCGCCGAGCCTGTCTGAGCCCTCAGGGACCTTGCCAGCACTTGGATTTCTCTTTCTTCCCCTGTGCCAAGTGATTTCTAAATACTCAGTATTTCCCATTTTGTTAGTGTGGTTCAGGATTACAGATGCTTTCTAGTTTCATTGAATGTGGAATTTGTTTCTATTTTCATTTTCTTTGTTCTTCTGTACCGGTTTTGAGAGAAGTGACATAGAAATTATTTGAAACCAAAACTCCTCTGCCTCACTCTTCCCTCTGTACCAGTCCGTGTCTCGCTCCTACCACAGCACCGAAACTGTACTTATAAGATCATCAAAGGCTTCCATTTTTGCCAGATCTGGGGGTCATTTTACTACCTGGCCTGGTTGACCACGGAGCTGTGTGGTACATAGTGGCTGTCCCCAACCTGAGATGTTCTCTGTGCTTTGCCCACGCTAATCCTTTTCCACCTGTCCCCTGGTGGGCTGCCAGATGGCTCCACTGGCTTCTCCTACCCCATCCACGCACAGAATATTGCTGGGTTGAATCCGAAGTTCTCCCTTCTGTTGTTTGTTCCGCACCCTTGCTCTTACCTATGCCCATTGCTTGAACTGCTGTCAGTGCCCCAGACCCCCAGATCCTTACCTCTGCTGAACTTTCCCTGGAGGTCCAGGTCCCCACCCGGATCTCTCCTAGATGCTCCTGGGCCCACTGCTGCGTCGCATTTCTGTTTGCCCTGCCTGAGATGTTCTTCCCACGTCTTCAGATCGCTGGCACCCCATTATCCTGAAGAGCTTTGCTCAAATGTCACTTCCTCCAAAGCTTCCCTGGCACTGACCTACAGACAGTCCTTGCTCAAGGCCACTTTATTTTGTTTCCTTCACAGAACTTATCTGGAATTGTTTTATGTTTTTGCTGCCTCACTCTGTATTCGCCATTCTGACCGCTGTTACCCGTATAAGAACAGGGCCTTGTGGATCTTGTCCTCCACTGTCCACCGAGTGCCTCGAACAGTGCTCAACAAAGTCTTGCCTCATTAATTGATTTAAATTTTATTAAAACATTAAAGTGTACTTTTCTCCTATTAGCACATTGTCAAATATGTTCTAATTTGCTATGAATAATTTATCCTAAGAATCAGATTCACAAAAGTAAAGATTTTTTTTACAAAAGAATAGCCAAACTCATTTTAACCTAGAAAACCAGTCTTTAGATGTCTCATACCATATAAATTACCTTAAAGATGAAAATAAAAAACAGGCTTGTTTGTAAATAGAATTGTGAATTACTATTGGCAAGGATTTTAAAACTAGAAAAATCAGTACTTGAAAAATGTATCAGAACACTATGTAAATTGTAAACTGTCTTTATTTTCTGATAAATTTATTATATGTCTGGATTGCATCATTGGCCATTAAAGGTTTTTGTTGTTGTTGTTGTTGTTTTAAGATTATACCTATTTGTCAGCAAGAAAAAGAGAGAGCACAAGCAGGGGGATTGACAGGGAGAGGGAGAAGCAGGGAGCCCAATGTAGGACTCGATCCCAGGACCCTGGGATCATGACCTGAGCCGAAGGCAGACACTCAACCCTCTGAGCCACTCAGACATCCCTTAAAGTTGTTTTCTGCCAGTATCTCTCTGATGGCCATTTGCCAGTAAGAGTAACCACAGAGGTAGTACAGTGTGAAAGTGCTTCAGTAATCAGATCTTGTATGGCTTTTTTTTGTTAAAGAAAACATTGTTTTTTAAATACTTGGCCAGTTCTTTGAGTGTAAAGTGGTTAGGATTTCTCTGTCTCTTCTAGCTTTATAAAAACAAATTTGTTTAGTGAGTAAATTAAATTCTTGTTTACTTGTCCTGCTTACTGCTATGCACCTGATAGGAGTGTTGTTTACCACCCAGCACTGCTAGAATGAAGGAGCATAGCCTGGGAAGTATTTTGTGGTCTTCCTGATTTCTGTGTTCGTATGTTCTTGAACGCGGTTACGGTGAAACCATCCCATTGGACCTCCTTCTTTCAGGCATCGGGCCTCTGCTACCACAGCAAAGTATTCCGGCTCCACCAGGCGCTCTGCATTCCCATATGGATGGCAAAGTTCTTTTCTTGGACGCTGGAGCCCATCTTCTCATCTCCAGAACCCGCCACCGAAGCCCGGATTGGGATGGGGGCCACCGTCGACATCCAGAGACAGCAGAGGATGGAGCGGCTTGACCGGCAGCTGACGCTCTCTCAGTTTGCACAAGTGAGACGACAGAGACAGCAGGTAAGCAGTGGCAGACAGATTGGAAAGGCCCAAGTGCTCGGCACACTTCACCTCTGCGGCTTACCATGCAGCCGAGAGGACGCATCACTCCTGCGCATGGCAGCCTGGAGAACTTGACGTTTCCGCATAGGATGTAGGTCTCTGTTAGTGGTTTTCTTAGCACTTTGGGTTTTTTTGGTTTTTTAAGTAAAAAAAAAAATTTGCAGCTGAAAGGACTGGTCAAACTGGGCATTCTTATTCCACTTCTATTAGATAAACATAATTTCTTAGAGAAACACCAACCTAGTTAACAAGACATGATATTTATCTGTCCTTATAATCTTGTAAAAGCCACAGTGTGTGTTCCTGTTAAAAATGCTGGTTATCATATGCGCTGCAGTAAAGGGCAGATGTGAAGCTTCTCGATTTTCCTTGGTTGAAAGGAAGAGACTATGAAAATGAGAAAGTTTCAGGGGAATAACCAGTGAATCAAAGGCTGTGTTTTCTTAACCTTGTTATCTACACATAACAAGAAATACTGCACATTTATCTACAAAAACTGCTGTATGCAAACACTCTAATGGTACCCCTGTCTTTCAAGGGTTACTGTATGTCAGCCCGACCCTCCTACTGATCTTGCTCTGGCACTCTGCCATCCAGCACACCAAGCTCTTTATCTCTGTGTCCGTCTCCTTTACCCTCTGGGGTATGAGAGAGGATACTGTTCTCTCACGCCATCTCCCTGTTTCCTTCCTGCCTTCACCGGGTGTGAGAACTAGGTCTGCAGGCCTCACGGTGGTCTGGAAAAGTGAGATCAAGTGTGGCATCCCAGGTGTCCCATTGGAGATAGGGGTCCTAGAGTTTATATACCCTTATTAATGGGCTGAGCCTATAGGTGAAAAAGAAAACCCAGGTGTTCCCTACAGAGATATTTGACCTTGAGATGACTCTGGAACATAAAACAAAGACACCTATGATGTATTTAAATGTGGAGGACAGACCTCTCACCTCAGAGCTGGAGGTGTAGATCATGGAGTCAGCTTCAGAGGGTTGAGTAGGTGCTAAGTGAGTCCTTTAAGAGAATTATATCCAAGATGAACATAAGCCATGGAAGGAGCCTTGTGTGTAGCAAGAGGGGGAGCTGGATCCTACAAGGAAAGAGAAGGAAGAATGAAGAGTATGAGAACTCAGAAAGACCAGGTCCAAAAACTGAAGTCATGGTGAGTATAAATATTTTCCAGGTAGAATGGGCAGAGCTGTGAGGGAGAGAAAGAGACAGGGTATGATTCTGAGGTTTCTGGCTTAGATAGTGGGATGGATTGATGACAGCACCATTTCTCCAATACCAAAAGAGCAGATCTGGGGGAAATACATTGACTGAGGTACCTTCGGAATACCTAGGACTCCCCATTAGATAGCTCGTGGAGCCCATGCTTGTGAGCAAACCAGAGAGGTCTTATTGCTTAGCTTTGCATCCCCAGGGACATCTTCATGCAACAAGTTTCTTAGGGAACCCTGTTGGAATCCGCATCTTTTGGGGGGAGTGGTGGTGAAGGACACGGGGAGACTAACCAAGAATCAGAGAGAGCCATAGAGAGCCCTTCCAGATTGCACTGGATTTGGCCAAAGAGCTGACACTTGAAACCTCCACCAGCCAGTCACTGGGTGCAAACTGCAGGTCTGGGGCTGACTGGCTGTGCTGTGTTACACGCTGTCCACAGGGGGTGTCCCTGGAGAGCTTTCCGCTGCCAGCAGTCCCCCTCGGCAGGAAAGTGGAGCACTTCTGTCCTGGGGAGGCAGGGGATCCGGGCGGTGGGCCAAAGCACCCACCCCTTGTGCTGCTGGCATCTTCCTGGTTGACAGAAGTTCTTGGAGCAGCTCCTGCAGGACTCCAGTGATGCTCTTACACCAGGAGAAACCTTCAAGAGGAAGATTAGGACACACTTCATCCCCTTCTGGGGAAGTTGCTCTCCAGGCCACCCTGGCCACCCCGTCCCTCTTCTACTTTCCATTTGACCATTGGCAGGAAGACAGTCTTGGTGAAGTGACACAGAGCGTCATCCCCGTGAAGTCTCAGTCCCCGGTCGCCTTGCCTCTCTCAGGCTGCATCTGCTGCCCTTGTCCTTTTACTGTAAAAACCAGGGCATGGGCATCCTAGGAGACACCCTCATGCCACACATGTTTTTCCCTCCTACTTTTGTCCCCCTAGTTGTGCCTTTTCTGGAGGATTACAGTTACTTAATCCTGCCATGAAAATGACTTCCTTCCTGGCCTGCTGCTCTCGGCATGAGAGCTCAAAATGACTGGGTAGCAGCTGTCACTTCACATGTAATGTCCTTATCTTGTCCCCAGTGGAAGTGTTACCCTCCTGGGAGGCGAGCTCGCTGAGCCCATGGAATCTAGTTTCAGGGACAGGAAGCCCAGATTCCCAAGCAGGTCACTGGTTAAGAGTGTACTTAGGGCCACTGCCCCTCCTCTGTCTTCTTTGCAGAACCCACGTGTTCTCCCTGCTGGGCACGCAGCGCCTGGATGGTGGTTGTTGATGTAGGGTTTGTACCGCGTGCTGGAACCCCCAGAGCCGTCCTTGCAGAGCTCCCCCTCCGGACTGGGGAGCCGTGCGATGTGTGAGGGGGTCCGTGCCGCCCGTGCGCCCCTTATAAGCGACCTTGCGATGTGACACGACGTTAGCTGGAAGCCTGGTGGGTGGAGCAAACTTCTGTAACCCCCAGGTGGGGGCTCTGGCTGACAGAAGAGGCAGCGGACCTAGAACCAGAGTGCGCGTCCGCTCCGGTGATGCCGCGTCGCTGCCTTCGTTAGCGTCCGCTCAGGCTGCCACAGCAGAATACCACAGCACCAGGTCTGACCAGCAGAACATTCTTTCCTTCCTGTTGTGGGGGGCTAGACGTCCAAGATCAGCGTGCGGGCAGGGTCCGTTTTGGAGAGGAGTCTCCCGGGCCTGCCGACAACCACCTTTCCCACTCCGGCCTCACGTGGCCCCTTCCCAGAGTGCGCCTGTCTTGGTGTCTTGTCTTAGGAGGACAGCAGTCCTGTTGGATTTAGGTCCTACCCTTATGATCTCATTTAACCTTAATTACCTCCTGAAAGGCCCTGTCCCCAGCTCTGGTCACAAGGGGGGTTAGGAACTTCAACCTGTGCATTTGGGGTGGGCAGCTTTCGGTACAGAACACTGTCCCTTCCAGAGTGAAAAGGGCCCAGCATAGCCTGTCTTGCACTGGCTGCTGCTTCTCCTTGAGCAGGGGTGGTGTGCGAGGGCTCAGCACTGGTCTCTTGCTGTCGCTGCTGTCCTGGCCACTCCTCCTGTGCCTGCTGTCCTGGCCACTCCTCCTGTGCCAGCACTGGGTGGCTGGTGGCAGGGGCTGGCTCAGTCAGTTGCCTGAGTCATTCCTTCTCTTTGGCAGGAGACGTTTCTGGTAGATCAGCATGCCAGTATAATGCTCAAGCGTTGTCTCGGTGTGTGCCTTCACACATCATTCGCCTTGTGCTGGCGTAGTTCATCTGTCCGCCTGGCGGCTGCTCCATCATCCTGGTGCCCTCCGTCACCCACCTGTGCCCCTCACTGGGCTCCGGGGTTACGGTCGGTCGGTCATTACTTCGACTCTCTGAGCAAGGCTGGTGGGTACTCCGTGGGCAGGAGAGAAGTGCAAAACATGTCCTTTCCCCAGCGACTCTGTGATCAAGCTCAGGGAGCCTTGGTGGATATACTTGAATTAGAGAACATCTGAGAACAAGGAATCATTGGCCTGAGCACCCAGAGCGTAAGGAAGCCGAGAAGAGCGCCGTCCCTGCTGCCCGCTACCGTGTGGTTTCAGCGGGAGGACAGACAGGATTGGGTGGGCTGAGATGAGGCAGGTGATACCCAAGCCAAGGACCAGCAGGAGTGGGGCAGGCATGGAGGTGATTAGAGACCCTGGAAAGGAAGACCCCAAGGAGGCCCCCCAGCCGAAGCAGGGCCAGGTACGAGTGAGAGACAGGAAATCGTTGTGCACCTGTAATAGAGGGTGCTTTAACCTGACGACAGATTTGGGTTTTGACGCAGGAGGCTGTGAAATGTGGTTTAACTGGTAGTAAAGGCAGAACAGTGTTCTAGAAAAATCTGTCTTATTGCAGTGTGTACTGTGGACGGGAGAAAGGAGAGAGCAAGGAGGAGGAGACAGATAGAAGACGATCTTTAAATCCAGCTGTGTGAGTGCCATGGCCAAAATCAGGGCATTCTCCTCATTGAGCACCTCTCTGCTCACTCCCTGTTGTTTCTCAAGGCTCTGTCATCCCAGGAGGTGACCCCCAGTCCCTCCCTTTCACCCCGCTGTCAGCTCCAGCAACCAGATCTGGGTTACGGACCGGACTCCCTCTCTCCTGGGCTCCAGCTCCAAACATCCCACGCCCACTGGACATCTCCACCCTCGCACTCCATGGGCACCTGAAGTCTTCCATTTCTTGGCTAAAGTAGCTTCTCCTCTCTCCCTCCCCGAATGAAAACCACAATCACCTGCCCGGAGACCCAAGCCAGAACATCCTGGCTTCACCTGCGGTAGAAAGCCGTCATCCCCCATCTCCCTCCCACTGCCATAGCTCATCAGCACTTAGCTTGCCTCTGAGTCTGGCCACAACTCCCTGTCCTGTCCCAGCCCCATGAGTCATCCCCCAGGGTGATCTCTTTGACACACAAATCTGACTGTTCCACACCAAACTCCTTCAGAAGCCCTTCGTGGCTTTCAAGGTAGTTAACACTCATTACCCGGAGCCCTTCCTGCGTTTTAGCCACGTGTGCTCACCCGGCCCCACGCGCAGCCTTCGGCTAACCCCACTCAGCTCAGGGGTGTGTCAGAGCCCCGAAGTCTCTCACCACGTGCCCTCGCTTCTGCCCCGTGCTCTGCCTGAAACAATCTACTCCCCCCTCGCCCAGCACATGCACAGGGTCTGCTTGCCCAACTCCTATTCATTCAGGGCTCCATTCAAACATCACCTCCTCCAGGAAGCCTGCTGCAGCCTCCCGTTCGGCT